TGGCAAACCAGAACTGCAGGCCTCTGGCCTTTGCCACGGCGTGTGCCTTCGTGGCTCTGTAGTGCTGGGTCCTGGAGACTCCAAGCCACATCCCCTGTCTGGAGTCACTCGGGAGGGTTTTAATCTCGAAATAGCAATGGTGTCAGCTGAGCTGTTCCGGAGCTGCAGCCAAGCAGCAATCCGAGCCACCTCATGATCCAGGGCAAGCTGTTATTGGGAACTGCAGAAACTCCTCCAAATCCCTGCGTGCTCCTCTTGAAACGCGGCGATGGAGATTTGGCTCCAGTCTCCAGCCTCGCTGCTGAAGTGACCCAGTTAATGACAGCTGACGAAGTTCTGTGGGCTCTGCGAAGCCGTTCACGGCGTTTCCAGCTGTGCTGCGGCCTGTGCCAGCCCCACAGTGCTGGGAGTGCAGCAGGGCGAGCTCCGGGGCTGCCTCCTCCCCAGGGCGGGTGATGCGCTGCCTGCTCCTTTATCTGATGGGGAGCAGGTGTGGCTGTTCTGGGCTCACCTGCCTGTGAATTCAGAACGGGAATTCCCTCTGATGCCCAATTATGTGGCTGACCTCACCCAGGCAGGTTTTTGTACCGAGGCTGAAGGTGAGAACAAAGCACCCCGTTGATCTGCGTGTAGCAATCTCCTCCCAGGGGGATGGAGCTGCCCTTCCCCGCACTGACACGGCTGGGCAGCCTGTCCTCACACGCTGGTGTGGTTTGGCTCTTGGCTCTGCTCCCCTGGGAGCTGTTGCAGTCCTGGAAGGCGCTGTCTGGTCACGCTGTCCTCAGGCCATCGAACACCCCGTTCATTGCCAGGAACGCGTACGGTGGCTCCACATCTAACTCCATTTTCTTCTGTTCGTGAACCCCACGCTGCTTTTCCTGCCCCAGGGTGTTGGAAGAACTCCTCTGCCTTCCCTCACGGTTTCCCTTTTGTTCTCCTCCTGAACCTCTTCTAGATGAGCTCTATGCCCAGAAACTGAAGTACAAAGCAATTAGTGAGGAGCTGGACCACGCCCTGAATGACATGACTTCCATGTAAATATGAGCTGGCTGGTGTGCTTCAGCAGGCTATAGACCGCCACAGCTTGCTTGGGTTGCTGTGATTTCCCTAGTTGGAGAATCAGTGGCGCTGTGTTGTCCAGGTTACTTCTACAGATCTCTGCCCCCGTGGCTGGGGAGGTGTCCCCGCTGCATGCCGTGCCCTGACTCCCACTCCCTGTGGTCTGCATGTGTAACACCGCGTGCTGCGCTGCCTGGCAGGGCTCTGACCGAACTGCCTGCAACTCCCAGTCCCGCTGGGAAAGGCTTCCTAAGGCAATGGCCCCGCTCCCTGCTGGAGCCGCTGGGCCGCGGTCTCGGGATTCCTCCTGGAAGAGGCCGTGGGCAGCGCTCGAGCGGATTCCTCGGGAGCTGCCGTAACAGGCTTGCGATGGGCCGGATCATGAACTGATCTGTGGAAGTAGCTGAACTCGCGTGTTTCCGCAACTTGGCTACTCAGCTTTTAGTTGGGTTTGGTGCTAACAGCTGCTCCGCACAGTCCCTACCGCTAACCCAGGAGAGGCCGCGCTGCGGAGGAGGAGCCTTAACAGAGCGTCCCAGAGCTCCCCTAGACCGAGTTTGCTGTGCACAAACATCGAGCTTCTCTTAAAATCAGTGTCTCCTTCTGTCTCACACAGATAAGTCTTGCGATTCCAAACTTCACTTTGGATTTGCCTCTCTGCTTGGTGGCTTGTTCTGCATCTGCTCCCTGTGTTCACGCTCTCATCTCGCTCTCAATTCCAGCACCTTTTTCCAGTCACTGTGTGCGGGGCGGCCCGGGCAACGAGCGCTGTAAGGACACTGAAGCCTGACAGCGGCAGCAGCCCCCGGCTGCGCTGCCCTTGCTCCTAAACAAAGCTCCCTCTGTTTGACCCGATGTGCCAGACACTGCCGTGCTCTGAGGGGCTGCCCTTTCGCTGTCTGGGTGTAGCTGGGAGGGTGTTGTTCTCATCTGCATATCTTGTGGAGAGCCATAAAGCTCCTTTTGTATTCTGCCTCTTGCTTGAGCATGATGTCACTGGTTTTTAAGGAAAACAACTCTTGTATAAATTGAATGGAATGGGTTCGTAGTGACCACTTGCTGCTCCGGGGTGACTGCTTCGGGGGTGCAGCCTTCTCACCCGTGCAGCCCTCATCACCCTTGGTGGAATACACGGCCTTCGTTACCGCGCCGGTCGTTCCCTTTGGCTGTCTCACAGCTCTGCAAGTGTCGCACGCTCCGTGGGGACAGATGGAAGGCTGGGGTTTGTCACAGGTTGTCCCCGAGCTGTGCCTGTTCAGCCTGGCTCAAGTCACCCCTCACGCCCGCTCGGCCGCGTTCACCGCCGTCGGTTGCCAAACGCGGTTGCGGTGGGAAGTTGCCACACCTGATCGTTACTGGGTCGCTGGCAGGGTGTGAACACCAATAAATACCCAGGGCGCTGTGGCTGTGGGCCAGGGCTGACACCGAGCACCGCGGCTGGCGACAGACGCTTGGCGTGCGTCCCCGCTGGCCCGAGCCTGTTGCCGTTGCTCTGGTATCATAAACACGCTCAGCCTTGTTTGTAACTGTGCGTGCCGCCTCGTGGTGGCTCGTCAAATACTTCTTCCTTTCTGGGTTGGTTCATCTGCCACAGTGCCCGAAGAGCCCTTCGTGAGCAGAGTTTTGATGAGCTGGGACACCTCCCGTGGTTCCCTCAGGTTTGTGTCACTGTTTCCACACAAACAGCCATGGGGATGGCGTGGGCGCGCCAAGCCGCCCCAGCCTGTCCTCACTCTGTCTTCTGTGTCAGGGCTGTCCCCTCTCTGTGGGCCTGGGTGGGGAAGGAGGGAGCGTTTCCAAAGGGAATTTCAAAGAGTAAAAGCTTGGAGAGCTCTGGAGGTGGTGGTCTGACCCCCTGGGGTGCAGGGCAATGATTCTGAACTCGCAGAGCCCATTGCTCCTCAGTAACCAAGGCTGCAGCTGGAGCAGGGGGTCTGGGTCCTGTGGGAGGGATGGGGCTTCTGTCACCAGAGTCTGGGGCTGTGGAGGCTTCCCAGTGCTGCTCTGCCAGCTCTTCCCTGGTGGGAGGTGGCACCTCGTCCTGTGAAGGGCCCTCTCAGGGGAGGTCCCGTCAGCTCTGTTTGTCACTGCCTCACGCCGTGTGGGGCTGGAGGCTCCGCTGTTGTGCGGCGGTGTCGCAAGCGATGTTATCGGAGGCTGGGCTGCGGCAGGGCCTTCCCCTGCTGGTCCCGGTGGATGTGGGTGGGTGGGTGATGCAACTCCTGCCCTGGGAGGTTTTGGGAGGCTCCTGGTCTGACTGGATTGCCAGGCCTGTGCAGGCCGGTTGCCCTGCGTGGGGCCGTTGACTCCGGGTGCTGTGGATGTGGATGAGCTGACCAGGGGTGCAGGTCCTGCAGCTCCCAGGCACTGAGGCGGCTGCTGAGGCTGCCCTAGGGCTGGGTGGAGATGGGAGCAGGCCTAACGCTGCGGTGAGCCCCAGCAGCCCGGGGCAGCGCTCCCTGTTGAGCTGCTCTGAGGTCTGGGAAGGGCCACGCTCGTGACTGCAGCCGGTCGGGTCCTGCGGGTGGGAGGATCCTCGGGTCCCTGTCCACAAGCAGTGATGCTGTGCAAAGGCCGGGAGCCTGCAGCCACTGGTTGTCACCGCAGTTTGCTCCCGTCCTCTGCCATGTCCAGACCCAGGACCAGCCCTGGTGGCCAGGGCTGGAGGTTGGCATTGGGTTGCCTTCCCTGCTCACTCATATCCAGCGCTTGGTCCCTTCTGTAAAGCCACCACGGGACCATGAGCATTGCTGCCCTCTGTGAGGCACGGCTGGAGCGGGTGCTGAGGGCTGAGAGGAGCCCATGTCCCAAACCTTGCCAGGTCTCGCTGAAGGGCAAAACATTCCTAGATTGGAGGAGTGGTGCAGATCCCCTTCGGAGCCTGCCCTGGGGGCCAGGGACCCTGTGGTACAGGGATCTGAGGAGAAGCCCCAGGCCAGCAAGAGGTGCCGTGGTCTACGTTCACTTGTCAGGCAGTGGCAGCGCGCTGTGTGTGTCGCTGGTTTGTGGTGACCAGTTCTGCCGGGCTGGAAGCTGTCGTGTGGGGTTTTTCACTGCCTTTCACTGTCGTGGGGCAGACACAGACCAGGAGCCTGTGCTCCAGACCTCCCTCTGTCCCTACCCAAAGCAGATGGACGCTGCCATCAGCCCTGATCTAGGTGTGGTGGGTTGTTGGTGTGGCACAGGGCCGTGTTTGTCCCTGGAGCTGTGTCCTCGGGGTCAGGATGAGGTGCTGTCGTTCTCCTGGTGTCCCTGTGGGGTTAAACCCCACTGACCTCACTGCTGCGTGCCCTGGAAGGAGCCTCTGGTTCTGCTGTGGCAGGACGACGTCTCTGCACATCCCGAGCCCCTCCTTGCCTGGGTGCAGCCCGGCCACCTCCTCTGCTCCTCTTCCTTTCTTTGCCTTCGCAAGCCCCTGGCAGCTCTTCCATTTCTGCTGCACTTGGCTCTCCGCGATCTTCCCCTGCTGAAACACTTTGGAGCGAGGCAAACCCTTCTTCTCCCCGGCTTTGTCCACGGCACGGCCAGACGTGACCTGGGGACGGCTGATGTGATGTGCTGGCCCTGGCGCTCTACTAACCTGCCCTTTCTCTCTTTTTCTCTCTTCCTCTTGTTTCCCCTGATCCCGTTGCCGCTGCAGAGCGCCTGTACAGCCAGCTTGAGAAAAACCGCCTGCTCTCTAACGAGCTGAAGTTAACGCTGCATGATCTGTGTGACTGAGAAGGGGGCCCACTAATGCCATTAAACGAGCTTATTGCGACCGCCAGTGCTGTGGACCACAGTGACTTGCACACTTGATGCAATCGCTGCTATTTAACAGGGCACTTGAATTTATCCTCTAATTTATTTAAGAGCCTTTTTTAATATAAATCTATAAAGGTAATCTCTGTCCTTGCTGAGGTAACCCTCAGATCTGGCTGTTTTCTGAGCAGTCACGTTCACTTCTCCATGGAGCCAGCCTGGCTGAGAGAGGGCTGGGGTGAGTTGAGGGTTACCTCTGCTGGAAGATGCCTGTTAAGTGCTACGACTTAATTTACCGTTAGCCGAGTGACTGTAGGACTTCCCGCTGCATGGAATGATGGCTTCTAACAATAAAGCAGTGACCTGGTGGTCTGTGAGCGCTGCGCCCCTGTAGTACGTTCCTGTAGAGTTCAGTCTTACCCTCGGAGGTTTGGGGGAAGCGCTCGTCCCCGGGGCCTGACCCCAGTGCAGCTGCAGAGTCCCAGCGCGGGTTGGGAGAGCTCCCGGACGTCTGGAAGGCGAGTCCCAAAATCCAGGGCGTGAAGCAGTGCCTGGAGGGCACCTTTAAAGGCTGCGGTCGGTAGTGCTCTAGGAAGGCTGCTCCTCGCTCTCTGCACAGTTTCGCAGCCCGGGGAGGTTGGGGAGCGGCTTTGGGAACTGCCTGTACGTCTCTTGCAGCCTGTCTGTCCGGTGTCCCAGCGCGTGGACCTCATCAGTGATCAGGGTGGGCTCCACTTTGGAGTCAAGCCCACCTAGAGCGCTCGGTGCTGGCCTGAGCTCTCCTCCTGGCTTAAGGAACATGTGAGAATCGACCATGCGGCTGCCCACAGCCTGGGGCAGAGCTGCGGCACCCTCGCTCCTCCTCGCTGCCTGCACCGAAAGCCGCCTCTCCCCGCTGTCCCTGCGGCATGGTTGTCTGCTCCCCGCACCGCTGGGTAGCGACGGTCTCGGTGACCGGCTTGGCACCTCTGTCCTGTGCTGGGGGGACCGGCTTGGCCCCTCTGTCCTGTGCTGGGGGGAAGGGGGCACAACCAGCCGTGATGGCAGGGGGCGATTCGGAAGGGGGTTTTACCTCCGCGTTGCTCTTGGGTGGCTTGCTGGGCCACGGGGGGGCTGCTGTCTGGAAGTGTCGAAGCCCCGGGGGAAGCGGTCGGAGGCACCTGCATGCAAAAACACTGCCTTAGAGCACGGGCTAAGGGTACACCGCGACCGGAGCACCGGCAGTGCGAGAGGCGAGG